AGGAGAAGTTGATATGAAGCGCTAAAAACAAGTACAGTATAGTAAGTACAGTACAGCTTTTTATTTGTTGAATTTTATTCAACCAGCAAGGAAAGTTACAAAATTATGCCACCATTTACTCACTCTGATGTTGTCCTGAATAATATTTATTTATTTATATTAATTCTTTGCAGTTAAAAAAAAGAACAAAAAGAAAAATAAACCAAAAGCAAAAAATCCAAACAAAAAACAGAACAAAACTAAACAAAAAACAAACTCCCACAAAAAAAATAAATAAAAAAAAAAAGCAAAAAACCCAAACAAAAAACAAACACCCACAAAAAAGAAAAAACAAACAAACCAAAAGCAAAACAAAATCCAAACAAATACCCCCCCAAAAGAAACACAAAATGTTCTTTCCCTTTCCTCAGATATTTTGTCTAAAATTATTATTATTAGTAGTAGTAGTAGTTGTTAGTTAGTTAGTTAAGCCTAAGAAATAAAATAAAATGGGTTTGGAAAGATATCCATAATAGTGACAGTTTTGAGTTTTGTGTGAACTAACCTATGAAGATCATTTAAAAAAATTATAAATACAAAAATATAAAAAAATTTCAGTTTAATATACAGGAAGCCTTAAAGGGAAGACACTTTTTTTTAGCATAAGATAATAAAATGAGTTTGGAAAGACAGTAAATGATGACAGTTTCATTTTTATGTGAACTAATCTGTTAAGAGAATAAATAAAAATAGTCATAGATGCTCATTTGATCCATTATTACATCACTAATAAGGCCTCTTCCTTCAAACCCTAAATTCAATAATAATCAAATGTATTTATTATATTACCATTGCTCTTTTTGCCAGTTTATTTTATTTTATTTTTTTCATGAGATAGTGGAAGGGGGCTCGAATATAACAGGATGAAGGGGGATAACAAGAGTTGGAAATGTTTGCAAGCCAGTTCAAACTCGCATCCATGTAAGCATTGCAGTCCAATGTGTTGGAACGTGTGCTAACTACTAAACCATGAAGAAATGCTAGAAAGTAGTCACAGTAGGTTACGCTGAGAGTACCTTGATCGTCTCGTAAGCGTCTGTGATGAGGGCGATGAAGAGACTGAGCACCATGTAGATGAAGAGCGAGATGAACGAGTAGAGATAAGCTCGGCTGAACAACCACACCATTGTGTTCTTTTGCTCAAACTGTGCAAACGTAGGAAACATGTCGTCCCCGTTGACTAGAGAGAAGAGGCACTCTGCCACACGACTCAGCCCTTCAAACTGACCCACAGAATATTGGTGATTGCATGGGAGAAAACATTTGGAGAAAGTTTGCATGAGACCAGTGTGAAATACTGACAGCTGGCAGTATAAAAATACATTATTTATTAATTAAAACACTTTATATAATGATGTGTGTGTGCGAAAATATGTATACAGATTAGATAGATAGATAGATAGATAGATAGATAGATAGATAGATAGATAGATAGATAAAGATGGATAGACAGATAGATAGACATACAGACAGCAGAAAGACAGACAGACAGACAGACAGATAGATGTGTGTAGATAGATACAGTAGACAGACAGATAGACAGATAGATAGATAAAGCAGACAGACAGACAGATAGATACAGTAGACAGACAGATAGATAGATAGATGTGTGTAGATAGATACAGTAGACAGACAGATAGATAGATAGATACAGCAGACAGACAGACAGATAGATACAGTAGACAGACAGATAGGCAGATAGATAGATGTGTGTAGATAGATACAGTAGACAGACAGACAGATAGATGTGTGTAGATACAGTAGACAGACAGACTGACAGATAGATGTGTGTAGATAGATACAGTAGACAGATAGATAGATGTGTGTAGATACAGTAGACAGACAGGCAGACAGACAGATAGATAGATAGATAGAT